GGCTAGGCCACGGATCTCTGTTTGGGAACAAGTGTTGGGGCTAGATCCAGACCCAGCCCACTTAGATTCCTCTCCACCTTCATCCCTTCTCTCCTCCTCCTCCCTCTATCAGCTAGCTGGTGAGTTTCCTAAGGCCAGGGCCTTGGTCCATCCATCTGTGCTCCTAAAGCCCACCCAAAGTTTAGCCAACAAAACCACCAGTCTCCTACCCTTGTCAGGAACCACAGCACTTTCAGATTCTCCCCTCTGTCCCTCAGGGAGACAAATGAACCAGGATTATGATCACTCCATGTCATTGACGAAGGAACAGGTTCATAGAAGTTGAGTCACTTGAGGTCACAGGGCAAGTAATCTAAGGCTCTAAATCCTGAACCTGTACTTTTTGACTAGTATAGTTAAACTAGAGTCCTGGTGCACGGAATTGTGCACCGGTGGGGTCCCTTGGCCTGGCCTGAGGGGATCAGGGCGAAACCGGCTCTCTGATATCCCCCGGTCCTGGGTTGTGAAAGGGTGCAGGCCAGGCAGAGTGACCCCACGGTGCATGATCAGGACCGGGGAGGGACCGCGGGAGGGCTCCAGGGCATGTTTGGCCCATCTTTCCCAGACCTGATGGGCCGGACCCCAGCATTTCAAAAAAATTTGGCCCCTCAGGGGGGGGGGGTCTCTCAGCCCAGCCTGTACCCTCTTGCAGTCTGGGACCCCTTGGGGGATATCCACCTGTTGGCTTAGTCCCACTTCCCGCAGGGAGCCAGCCTAATGTGTTAGTCGGACATCTTAGTGCTGCCACAGAGGCAGAGAGGCTCCCACCACTGCCGCTGCGCTGGCCAGACATGAGCCAGCTTCTGGCTGAGTGGCGCTCCCCTTATGCAAGCACACTGACCACCACGGGCAGCTCCTGTGTTGAGCGTCTGCCGCTTGGTGGCCAGTGAGCATCATAGGAACGGGTTGTTCCCGGTCATTCCGCCATTAGGGTCAATTTGCATATTATCCATTTATTATATAGGATAGTAAGAGGAAATGAAAGCCCTTCCCATAAGGCTCTGGGGTACAGCCCATAGTGAGGTGGGAGTGTGGTGGGTTGGTGGCATGACTGGCAGGGTTATCCGTCCAGAAAAATCCCCTTCTCCAGCACTTTGGCTGCTTCTTTAACACCCCATCCCAGTCCTGGATGGTTTGGCTCAGTGGTTGGAGCGTTGGTTGGCAGACCCAAGAAGAGTCATGGGTTTGATACCTGGACAAGGGCACGGTACCTCGGTTGCAGATTCGATCCCCAGCCCTGGTCAGGGATGTGTGTGGGAGGTAGCCAATCAATGTGTCTCTCTCCCATCGATGTTTCTCTCTCTCTCTCTCTCCCTCTCTCTCTCTGTCTCTCTCTCCTCCTCCTCCTCCCTCCCTCCCTTTCATTCTCTCTAAAAATAAATAGAAAAAATATCCTGGGGTGAGGATTTAAAAAAAAAACTACAAAAACATCTCAGGGCCTGACCAGGTAGCTTGGCTGGTTAGAACATTGTCCTGACGCACCAAGGTTGAGGATTCGATCCCTGGTCAGGGCACATATTAGGAATCAACCAACGAGTGCATGAATGAGTGGAACAAAAGAAATCTCTCTCTCTCTCTCTCTCTCTCTCTCTAATCAATAAATTAAAAAATAATATTTAAAAAATTCCACCCCAGGTCAGGATGAGGCAGGAATGGCAACAGTCCTTATACCTATTCTGTTAGTAGACAAGGAATATGGGCTTATATTTTTGGAGGACCATTTGGCAAAATCTATTACTCCAAACATGTTGGGACTCTTTGACCCAAGTTCAATTGCAGAAATTTGTCCTATAAAAATATTTCCATATGTTGCCCTGACCGGCTTGGCTCAGTGGATAGAGCCTCGGCCTGCGGACTGAAGGTTCCCAGGTTCGATTCCGGTCAAGGGCATGTGCCTTGGTTGCGGGCACATCCCCAGTGGGGAGTGTGCAGGAAGCAGCTGATGGATGTTTCTCTCTCACCAATGTTTCTAACTCTCTATCCCTCTCCCTTCTTCTCTGTAAAAAATCAATAAAATATATTTAAAAAAATATTTCCATATGTATGCAAAGATGTGCAAGGATGTTCCTTGCAGCACTGTTTATAATACTGAGGAAAAGGAGAGTGGTTGAATAAATTTTGATAAATCCCCACAGTGGAATATTATGTAGCTGTTAACAACCTCATCTTAAAATGGGGATAATAATAGTATTTACCTCTTGCAGTTTTTATGAGAATTAAGTGAATTAATACCTGCAAAGTGCTTAGTACTGTCAAGCAGCAAGGATGGACCGGCTTCCGGCATGCTATCATTATCATATAGGTGTAGAACTAGGGAAAGGTGGTTAAGATGCAATGCTGATTGCCCGGCCAGCGTGGCTCAGTGGTTGAGCGTCAACCTATGAACCAGGAGGTCACAGTTCAATTCCCAGTCAGGGCACATGCCCAGGTTGCGGGCTTGATCCCCAGTGTGGGGTGTGCAGGAGGCAGCAGATCAATGATTCTCTCTCATCACTGATGTTTCTCTCACTCTCTCTCCCATTCTGTCTGAAATAAATAAAAAATATATTTTTAAAAAAGGATGCAATGCTGATTAAAAAGTAAGTTACAATATGTGAAGTGTGATCCCATTTGAGTAAAAACAAATAATAGTAAACATTCAATATAAAAAGAGAAGACAAGTCTGGACATATACACCAAACTATGACATTGATGGTCTTTTGTGGGGTGGGTAACAGAAACAGTCACTTTGCAAATTTCTATAAATTTTAAAGTTGCCTAATACCAGTGTATTGTTTTTGAAACCAGAAAAAAAAAAAACCCTCCAGAAAAAGTAAAGAAAATAAAAGAAGATAGTGGAGTAGATGATGGCATGGGAACCCCCTCTTCTCTGTCTGAGGCGCCAAAGTCCGAGATCAGAGCTGTCTAAGCAACAGGAAAGGCTCCCTGCTTGGCTAGCCTGACGCTGGGGAAGGCGAGGCTGCAGCTTCCCACCCCAGCACGCCTGGCATTCACTCTCATCCTGTGAAGATGGGCGGCGGGGAGGCTTCTCTTTCTGGCCCAAGGAAGGCCCCAGGGGCTGGTTCATCGGGGTCCCATGGGTCAACCAAGCCAGCCAGCCTCTCTGGGCCTCAGCTCCCTCCCTGTAACAGGCAGAACAGCCCAGCCTCAGTATTTTGTGAACAGCCAGGGGAGGAGAATGAGCTATCCGTATCACACAGGGCAGCCAGTGGGGGTCCATCTGGAGTTAGTGTTTCACCAAGAAGAGCTGTCATGACAAGAGTCTGTCAGTCTGCAAGCATGTCCAGGGCCACTGTTTACCAGTATTTGCCAAACCATTCTCCAATTCTCCAACACAAGCTGGGTGTCCTCCACCTCAATTCAATTCTGACACTACCTACCTGGAGTTGGTGTCAGATCCCACAAGTTAATGGTTCAGTTCCACAACACTGCCCCCACTTCAGACACCAATCACAAGTTCAAGTTGTCATTTGTACTTCTGACCAACCGGCTATATAAATCAGGGATCCCACAGCCTCTTCCTCAGGTTTGGTAATTTGCTAGAAAGACTCAGGAACTCAGGCAAGCACCTTACTTATGTTTTCCAGTTTATCATAAAGGACACAACTCAGAACAGCTGAAGGGAAACAATGCAGAGGGCAAGGTATGGGGCGACGGGGATGCATGGGGCCTTCATGCCCTCCCCAGGTCACCCTCTCCGCACCCCGATGTGCTCACCAGGGCCCTATTCTGAGCCTTGCCCTGGATCTGGGGCCTGGGCAGGAGACAGGGCAGGCCAGGTGCTGAGAATAAGTGGAGAACTTGGGCAAGAGGGAAGCCTGGGCTAGACTCAGGCCCCACCTAAGACCTGACTAAGCTGACCCTGTGACATCCTCCTCCTTGTAAAGAACCAGAGGGCCCTTGCTTGGAGTGGACCGCCCTGTCTTCCAGGACATCGTGGTGTCCCATTTATAAAGAAAGAGATGTTTGTATTGATTTCAGAGAGAGGAAGGGAGAGGGAGAGAGAGAGAGAAACATCAATGATGAGAGAGAATCATCCATTGGCTGCCTCCTGCACGCCCCTACTAGGGATTGAGCCCGCCACCCAGGCATGTGCCCTGACTGGGAATTGAACTGTGACTTCCTGGTTCATGGGTCAATGCTCAACCACTGGACCACACCGGCCAGGCGTGGTGTCCCATTTTATTCTGTCCCTATCTCCACACTAGTGGCCCAGGAACAAGCCTCCCCATGTCACAGCGGGAGAGTAAGGCCCAGAGAGAGGAAGTAATGTGTCCATAGTCACACAGTCATACACAGACAAGAACCCAAATCTGCTCAAACCAGCCTCCTCGACCACCAGGGGAGCCTCAGGAAACACAGGTGGGGGCAGGGTGCCTGGGAGCTGGAAGGAAGTCCTGGCCTTCCCGGCCAGACCAGTGGAAGGGCCCTTCCCACTTCTCCAGCCCCTACCTGTTGGCTAGAAGCCTGGTGGCTGTGAATCCACTTGGCTTCCCTGACCCACTGTGACATCTGACTTCTCCTTGTCCAGTCAGGGGAGCTCTTGGCCAGGCCCCTGATCCACAGGCCCACCTGGAACCAGCTTCTCTCCCGGTTCTTCTCGACACCCGTAGGGCCCTCCCTTCTGCCTTCCTGGGCCCGCACTGAGCTTCTTAGACCATGATTCTACCCCAGCCCGGCCAGTGGGATCCGGAGGCAGCAGGAACCTGTGTGCACTTCACCCTCTGCTCCTGGAAGGGCAGGCGAGATGAACTCTTGAATTCTTGATCCTGAGCCCTCTCTGGGGTAGAGATTGCTTCTGTCCACCTGGCAGCTGAGCCTGAGTAAAGGGGCAGGTCCACAGGAGTACTAACTCCTTCCCCAGAGCCATAGAACCGCCCCTCCCCACTTGAAAGGTGGGAGGCTCTGACTCCCCTCGGGCTAGGCACCTGCGCCCACCTGATACCCTCCCTGTCTCTCACCTGGATTCCGAGCAATCTGCAAGTAGCATGGGTCCCCACCAGTACCGCGCAGTCCCCTGGGTTCCGTGAGATGCTGGGATGGCAGCTGCTCTCAGACGTCTTCTCTGCACCGGCGGCAGAGGGCTCTGTTGCTGTGCTGCACGGACCCTGCTTTTAGCAGTGGGTGTGGATGTGGGCACTGCCCGCCCCACCTGCCTGATGCCTGCTCGGCCGTGTCCTTTGCCCCCTAGATCTGGTGCCTCCTTCTCTCCTTAGCACGTGGGTGGCAGCTGCTCACGCTGCTGGCAGCCTGTGGAGGAGTCATGGCCCAGACCGTGGGCCGAGGTGCCTGCCAATCCCTGCCTGGGACTTGCTCTGCCTGCTCACCTTTTGCCCCTTCTTTCCCCGGCTCCCAGACTGTGGGCTGGGTTTGAGAAGGGAGGAGCCACCGGTGTGGGGCCAGGCTCAAGTGGGCAGAGCCAGAGCCAGGGACAGCCTACTGAGCCCCAGCCTACCTTCAAGCTTCATTCTAGTCCCCAGATTCCTCTCTCCTGAGCTCCTAGCCAGCTCACTGAGCCCCATCCATTCCCCGAGCACCAGCTCCAGGATCCCTTCTGAGCCCTCTCCGGCCTCCAAGTCTCTGCCTCATTTCCCATTCCCTGAGCAGTCTCCTCCTTCTCACGCCCCTACCCCTGATGGAGCCCCCTCTCCCCTCCCCGAGCTCCCATAGTCTCCTGGAACCCCTCTTTCTGACCTCCTTTCTCTACCCTGAGTCCCTCTCTCCTCCTAAGCCCCCTCCCTATCCCTGAACCCCCACCCTCACCCTGCACTCTACATAAGGTTGCCAGATTTCGCAAACAAAAATCCAGAATTTTCAGTTAAATTTGAATTTTGAAAAACAACAATTTTTTTTAAGTATAATGAAACCTCATGTAATATTTGGGGCATACTTATACTAAAGGATCACTCACAGCGTCATCTAAGTTTCCAATTTACCGAGCACCCTGCATCTATCCTATCCATGTGGACAAGAGGGGCGGCGGGGAGGTTTGGACAAGCTGTTCTCTCTCTGGGGCCTCTCTTAGCTGCAGCTGTGGCCCGTGGGAAACCTCGAGCTGACCTGGAAGTGGTCTGGGTCCCTGGAAGGGTTTGCATCCCCTGTCGAATAAGGGGAGAGCAAGGTGAAGATGGGGAGCAGGAGGGAGGGAGTAGCTGTGATCATAGGGCCTCACATCAGAGAAAAGCCAAGGGAAGGAGTGCTTTGAAGCAATCCAATGCTGGAAGGCTTCCTCAGGAGGAAGGTCTCATGGTTACGTTGATGCTGAGAAAGAAGGGTTAGATGGCCCCTGGTAGAAAGCTCCCCCTTCCTCAAGGGGAGCTGGGGAGGCATGGGGATTCCTTCCTTTAAGGAAGTCCCTTGAAGATTAATTGAAAGTATCTGCCCCTTCACATGAAGATTCTCTAGAGCAGCGGTTCTCAACCTGTGGGTCGCGACCCCTCTGGCGGTCGAATGACCTTTTCACAGGGGTCACCTAAGACCATCCTGCATATCAGATATTTACACTACGATTATAACAGTAGCAACATTACAGTTATGAAGTAGCAACGAAAATAATTTTATGGTTAGGTCACAACATGAGGAACTGTATTTAAAGGGCCAGAAGGTTGAGAATCACTGCTCTAGAGTAAGGGGCAGGGTCTCCTATTAACTTAACAAATCACTATCCCTTCTAGCTAACATCTGCCAGGCATTGGCTACTTGCCAGGGCCCCACCTACACCTCCTGTACTTTATTTACTATATGTGGGTTAATTCATCAAATCCCTCTGATGACCAGATGGGATGGGTATTTTCTCCCATTTTACAGATGAGGAAACAGAGACACAGAGAGATTGGGTACTTTTTCTGAGGTTTATACAGGTGGTAGGTGGCAGAGCTGGAATTTGAGCCCCGGTGTCCTGGCCCTGCACCTGCTGGGTAGTAGATCCTGTGCTCACGGCTGGGACTGGAGAGATGACATAAACGCTGTCCCTGCTCTCAGGGGACCTCTAGTCTAACAGCAGGAAACAGGTGAGTCGTTAATGACTCTTATACAGGTCAGGCTGGGATCAGTGCTGCGAGAGAGTATGCCAGGAAGGAGGGCCGATTCTGTCGGTGGAGGAGCAGGTGTGTGCGAGTCAAAGAAGGATGGGTCAGGTCTCTAAGAGCTTCAGGACAGGCATTGGGAAGAAGGGATTTCTAGGTAGAGGGATACCTTGGGCAAAAGCAGGGGAGGTGTGGAAATGCAGCAGAAAGTTGGGTGATAGTCAGGAGTCCGGCTGGACTGGAGGGAAGATGTCTATAGGTTGAGCATCAGATCAGGGAAAAGAAAAAAGGAAGAGAGTCAGGTCAGAGCAAAGGAGTCAAACAAAGAAATGGAGATTCCATCCAGGGGAGAACAGGGAGCCACGGAAGAGTGTCAGGCCAAGGCAGGACCGGCTGAATGTGCTGGGGCTGCAGCTGGGAAGAAGCGCTGCAGGGAGAACCTGGGTTCACATGGGGTGGGTGCCTCAGCCCGGGAGCGGCCGGGCTACCGCGAGACCCACTGGGGAGGTGGATGGAGGACTGGGGCGTGAAGGGACAGATTGCTGCTGTGATTTCTGCATGTGCTTCTCCAAAGGGCTTGGGTCTCATTCCACTCGGATCCAGCCCCGGAACAGGACCTGAAACAAGATAACGTGCTTGTAAATGTCAGCAGAATTGCATGGAGAGGATTTGGAGACAGATGGAAGGTTTAGGGGTGAGAAAGGCGAAGGATTCAGGGGGCTTTCCTGGTTTGAGCCTCAGCACCTGGAAGGATATTGGTGCCCTAAACCAAATAAAGGGCTAGAGGGGAGACGGAATGTGGGCAGAGGGGGGAGACACTGCACTGAGGGGCACCCACTGGGTGACACCCAGTGGACTTTGGTCCTCGGGTTGGCAGGTAAGGTCTGAGCCTGTGACAACGCAAATGGCAGAGCTGTGAGGCAGCTGATAGCGTTAGGCTGCTTGTTTCTTCGGCCTGGATCAAATGCCCCCTGTGTGCCTAGCCCTGTGCGGGTGTGACCATGACTATAATGTGGTAGGAGGCTGTCCCCGCAGCAGAAAGGCTCGATGGATAAAGTCAGAGCCTTCACTTTCTATGAGGTTCAAAAACAGCTACAACTAATATATTGTTTAGATGCACGTGTCTACATGATAAAGCTGTTTTAACAAAACAAAGGAATTAGACAGCTGGTAGAATGGCTAAAATGAAAAAAGATAGATCATATAAAATGTTGGTAAGGACATGGAGCAATTGCAACTGACACAGTGCAGTGGGGATGTTAAAACAGTTTGGAAAACCGTGGTAGTTTTTTAAGAATGTTAAACATGCAACTTGCCCCCTACTGGGGATTGAGCCCACAACTCAGGCATGTGCCCTTGACCAGAATTGTACCCAGGACCTTTCAGTCCACAGGCCAACACTCTATCCAGAGCCAAACTGGCTAGGGCTGGAGAACAATGAATTTAAAGACTGAAGAAGGGAGGAGAACCACGGAAGCCAAGTGTCCCTTTGCACAGTCAACTCCTGGAATTTCCTGGAAGATGGTTGTTCCATTAGTTACAAACCAAAAGAGCATTTCCAGAAAGATAAGCCCATTGCAGCTGCTGTTTTTGGAGCACTGACTAGTCATCATGCTAGACGCTTATATAAAGTCACCTAATCCTTCAACTTCTCATTTTACATATGATATAATTAAGTGATTGGCACTGGGTCACATAGGAAGTTCAGAGCTCAGAATGAGATCCAAGTCTATCTAACTCTAAAGCTAAGTTCTAAAATTAGACCCTAAAAATTTCTTAATTTTACATAAAAGTTTACACCAAAAGTGTGAAGATTAATACAGTGTACACCTGTGTACCCCCACTCAGCTTAAGAAATTGAATTCTCACCCTAGCCAGTTTGGTTTAGTGGATAGAGCATCGGCCTGTGGACTAAAAGGTCCCAGATGCGATTCTGGTCAAGAGCACATGCCCGGGTTGTGGGCTTGATCCCCAGTGTGGGGCATGCAGGAGGCAGCCCATCAATGATTCTCTCTCATCCTTGATGTTTCTCTCTCTCCCTCTCCCTTCCTCTCTGAAATCAATAAAAATATACTTAAAAAAAAATAAAACCACATGCAACTGTTGCCTGACCAACCCATTTCACTCCTAGGTATTTAGTCAAGAGAAATGAAAGGGTAGGTCTATGCAAAGACGTGCACACAAATGTTCCTAGCAGCTTAGTTGTGAAAGCCTGACACTGGAAACAACCAGGATGGCCATCAACAGGGGCAGGGATAAACTAATTGTGGTATAGTCATAAATGCAAATACTATAATGGAACACTATGCTGCAATGGCAAGGAACAACCTGCTGAGAAATGGATGACTATCAAAGTAATTATTGTAAGTGAGTAGTATACTAAAAAACAGTATATACTGTATGACTCCATTTATATAAAACTAGAGGCCAGGTGCACGAATTCATGTACCAGTGGGGTCCCTTGGCCTGGCCTGTGGGATCAGGCCAAAACTGGCTCTCCGACATCCCACTAGGGGTCCAGGATTGTAAGAGGGCACAGGCCAGGCCGAGGGACCCCACTGGTGCACGATTGGGGCCAGGGAGGGATGTGGGAGGTTGGCCAGCCGGGGAGGGACTGAGGGAGGGCTCCAGGGCGTGTCTGGCTAGGCGTGCTCAGTCCTGATTGGCTGGACCCCAGCAGCAAGCTAACCTACTGGTTGGAGTGCCTGCCCCCTGGTGGTCAGTGCATGTCACAGCAAGCGGCTGAGTGGCCTTAGCATATCATTAGCGTATTACGCTTTGATTGGTTGAACGGATGACTGGACACTCAGCATATTAGGCTTTTATTATATAGGATTCTAGAAAATGCAGTCTAACCTGTAGTGACAGAAAGCAGATCAGGGTTTATCTGGGGATGGAGTTAAGGGGTGTGGGGGAGACTGGAGGGAGGGATTACAAAAAAGTATAAAGAAATTTTGAGGGGGGGATGGGTATGTTAATTGCCTTGATTTTGGTTATGGTTTCAGGGGCATATACCTATGCCCAAGCTCATTAAATTGCATACTTTAAATATGTACAGTTTATTATGCATCATTTATAC